TCATGTTCATCTGTGTAGGTAAGGTGATAAGGGATAGTGATGGTGATTTTTAGCTGTTGACAAAACACATTTCTTGAAGGCAGTCCATATTTTTGGCTGTGTCTTTGGACTGTGGAATAGACGTTCACTAAGCACACAGGGATAAGAGTGTTTACCTCGATTTCCTCTTAGAGACCAAATACCGACAGAAAGTTGCACAGCCTGTATTTACTTTAGCCGGTCAGCACTATGTGTTATGTTAGCTGCAATCATTCCAGTTAGAAAACAAACATGCATGCATATTAACTTTTTATAATTTGGTTATTATCTTTAAAAGTATCCATATTGCAGGGCTGTGCCTTAGAGGTCTAATGAGCTGATTTCTGATCATGTATAATCAGGTTTTTTTGAGTGCTTCCTAAACTTTAGCCCCATTACTTCTGAAATTGTTTTTCTCTTCTCATAACCACAAAAGGCATTAAATTGTTTCAAAAGAAGACTTAAAAGAGACATTTGGTAAGCTAACTTTAATTATACCACCTTATTCAGCCATATTTTCTTTTTTTAAATAAAACATTTATTTCCTATTTTCTACAAGTGATACTAAAATATGTCAGGGAAATATAAGAAACATTAAATGTTTCCTGTTCAACTTTGTTACAGGAAAAAATTACTAATGAAAACTAAAAACTGTTCACCAGCTTACTAAAATAAATCCATTTTCAAAGAATCCAGAAATCAGTGAAAAAATAACATATAATTTTGGAAGTTTTTAATACTTTTCTTATATACTTGAGCATTATAGAGTGTAAAGTGAAATTTAAATCAAATCTAGCTTGATGAGTTTCTTGAACAAAAAAGATACTGTAACAGAACCCAATACCCAGCTGCTCTGTGAGCAAAGCTATTTCTTTATTCCAAAGGGAAAAACCTACAAAAAAAATATTGCTGGTTTGATTTTACTCCACACAGGCAAAAATTTTTTACCTTCAATTTTCAAAATGCAAAACAAGCAATTTTTTGGAGTTCATATTACCATGAATACATATTTCAAATATCTCAAAATCCTAAAATTCATGGATTTGTTGTTTTGAAGTTTTTGGTAAAATACCAAAAGGAAGAGGGAAGATATCTTGCGGGGGAGGGGGGTGTCTTTAAGTGAATGCTACAAATACACCTGCCTTTGGCACTGGCTTGGGTACCTTTAGGGTATGGAGCAGCAAATGTGAGATATGATCTCAGAAGAGTCGGCAGATACATGCAAACATAGACTCTGACTAAAGTAGTGAGGGTTTTCCTGCAGAAATATAACTGAATTTATGATCCATACAATACAGTACCAGCATTCTTGGTTTCCAACATCATACCATGTGCTTATTTTTTGACAACAGCAGCAGAGTATTTACTTTTCTTCCAAGTGGAACTTAAGATGGAAGTGTAACTGAATACATACTAGGTGTCATTTTATTTTCCATTCGCATGTCGAGGAAACCAAAGCAGTGTTTACCCCAGTTTAAGAACGTAAAATGTAAAGCTTTCATTTTTCCTTTCTTTTTTAAACTGGGAACTGAACTCAGGACCTCATGCTTGCCAGGCAGGCAGTTGTGCCACTGAGGTATATTCCTGGCCACAGAATGGAAAGCTTTTGAACGGTACTGTATAAGTAATGGAAGAGTTACATTTTTGGAATTAGTTTTGAAAGCAAAGATTTGGTGCAGTTTACTTTTTTAACCGCTCAAGTGTGCTGCGGTTTCTACTAGATGACTGTGAACTAACAGGGGAAGAATAAATTATGTTCTTCAAAATAATCATACCGTAACAAACACTTAGAGGCTCTAGAACTTATTTCAAGGTCAAATGAATGAGCTGAATGACCCAATACAGATGTGTGTGGCATACACTTTCTTCCTAGTGACTGGTGGCTGACAACAGACTCATGCCATTCAGTACTCAAGGGGCTGCCCCTGTGGGGGCATGACTCTGCAGAGCAAGAGCTGGTGAGAAGACAGAAAGGAAAAAGAAGTGAGAGAGAGAGGAGGAGAGGAACTGCTTGTTCACTAGAACTGACCATCTTATTCCTGAGATAGTAAAGAAAGGAGACTAACAGAGTTTGAATCAGCTCCAATAAAGCAGAATTCACAACGCTTCATGTGCTACAATGCTGTCTGCTAATTCAGGCATCACCATTCCATTTCCAATATCTATTTAACCTTTGTTATTAGTTTTGTTCTAACTTTTGTAATTCCTTTTTTCTTTTATAATCGAAAACACAATTTTACAATGAAAAGTCTGATCTCCAGATAGGCTGACCAGAACTGCTATAGAAATAAACACTAGGAGATAACTACAGGTATGTGTTATTTTTTTTTCTTCTTTATGACTTATTAAGAATGTTAAAACATCCTCCCCACAACAGAGTCTGCTAGTTAAATCCAAGTGAAAACACTAACGTCTGAGTCAGCAAGTTCATAATGTCAACTGAAAATGTCTCCACATTAAGTTATGTGAAGACATACCTGGGGGAGCTACTTCAAAGGCAGCCCCTCCCTTGGTACTACCACAGCTGTGACATCAGTCTCCTGTCTTTAACATTCACAGTTTTACCCTATGAATGTTAAGTAGACCTAGGACAAATAAACTGAGGCTGGTGGGGGGGCTCCCTTCATTCAGTCAAGGATATTTTTCAATTATATATTTTGTTACATCCTCGGAGATAAAAGCTGTATCTGCAAGTGATTAAAAGTTGTTTTATATTCATGGTTTCATTTCTGCTGAAAGAAATGTATAATTTAAACCACACATAATTCATAGCAATTTAGGCCCATTACAGAGCTCTAGCTTCTTTTTTTTTATGATAGTTACTAATTAAAACAGAGTGTTTCCGTCACGCTGAGCCTGAGTCTTTGACATACAAGTTTAATGAATAAAACGTCTTGACACAAAAATGAAAACAATAATACAGACAAGGCTGCAAGCTGTTAAGTTTCCAGCGTGTGGTAAAGATTAAGGACAGTCACTAAAGTTAAGAACTGAGCAGAGGGGGGACTTGTAATTCCCTTCTTTGAAAGAAGGGAAGGACTTCTGTGAGGAATTTGAAGTAGTACTAATTTCTCTGATTTCTGGACCCTTTATTCCCAGCTGTCCCCTCTTCCCACACTAAGAATTTAAACTCACAAGAGTCACTTTTAGAGACTAAATGATGGGGTATTTTAATATCCTGAGCATAGGTTTAGATTGAAAATGGGAATTGGGACCATAATTAATTATGTTGGTAAGTTTTTTTAAACTTTAAGAAGGCAGAGTGAGGCAAATGACATTTCAAGAGACAGCAACCTTCTAAACTTTAGTAAAATGACAGTATCTCCTCGACATTTGATTAATTCCATATGCAGAATGAGTGCAAGGAATTAATACCGTTTTGGTGTTTTCACTTTCTAAAACCACTGTAATAAGAGACCGACATAAAATCAAACCAAGTGTAAACAGGGTTCTCAGCCAGGGTTACGGCCTTATTATCACTCTTAATAAACAATAATGAATAATAATAAATACCGGGCCCTGGGCACCCCGGGCTCTCCACGCATATCCCTACTCTCAGCCATCCATCACTTTCTTTCAGGATAATAAAACAATTCAATCCCATCAAATCCTCAGCAACCGCTCCCTTGGGAGGGATGTTTTATCTCTACTTCTGCAGCCCGGGGAGGATTTTACTTGTTTGAAGGGGGCGGAGAATAGCGCCGGGTCCTATTTATTCCCATTGATGACTTCCCTGGTTCTCACAGGCGTCGGGACGGTGGGAGGAGGAGAGGAGGAGGCGCGGAGATTCCCTCCTTCGGCAAAGAAAAAGGGTTCAGCAAGCCAGGCCGGCGGAGGAGGGGTGGAGGGGGAAAGAGGAGATCAGCAACTCAATGATAAAATAAGTTCTGCTTTGTGACTTAGAAGGATTGAAAGATGAGGGAAGCGAACACATTTACCAACTCAACTAAGTTGCTGAAAAGAACTCTGAAAAACAAAAACAGAGACACTGCTCGCGTTCGTTTCGCGCTCGAGATTTAGGTTTCCAGGGGAGATGGACAGCGCCCCGAGCCGACCTGGAGGCTGGGGCGGCACAGCGGTGCCCACCTCAGACTCCAGGGCCTCGGCCGCCTCCGCGGGACGGCTGAGGGGGTCATGGGGACCTTCTTGCCTCGGCCTAGCGCGGGGGTCCGGGGAGAGTGGGAGCCGAGGGCGTACAATGAAACGAAACCGCACCTCAAACTCAGCAGTTTACAAAAGGCGCCCCCAGGAACGCCGGGGATCTGGAACAGCGCGCTTGGGGTCCTGAGCGTCCGGCTCACGGCGCTCCGCGCAGGAAGGAAGGGGGCGCAGACGCGCGCGAGCCCCGACTCCGCGCCCACGGACGGGCGAGGTCCCCCGATCCCCCGGGCGGCGCGGGCGGGGATGTCCCCGCGGTGGGTGCTCTCAGCTCCAGCGAAAGTGCAAGTCTCTCCCGGGCCACCAAGCTGGGGCCAACGAAGTTTCTACAGCGATGCTCGCCCACCGCGCAGAGCACTGCGGGGCCGAGCTGCAGGAGGTGTCCCGGCACGGACGAGAGCCCGTCCTGCACTTTCTCCAGCGGCGGGCACAGGGCAGAGACGCGGAGAGGGAGCCAGGAGCTCACCGGCCGGGGGCAAGTGAGTGTCCAGGCCGAGTCAGGGTTATTGGCTCCGGGGCTCCCCGACCCCGCCGCAGCCCGGGTACTGGGTTCTCCTCTGCCCGGCCGCGCGCTGTCTCTTCACCTCCTAACGTACCACGAAAACACCCTAAAACCTTTAGGTGACTTGCCCCGTGCTCCTCGCACCCGCCACGCCTTCGGATCGGGGCCGCAGGAACCTCGCTGGGCCCTTCCCAGTTTGGGGGTGCGCGACGCAAACCCCGACCCCGAGGTGCCCTCGGCTGGAAACGCCTTGGGGTGCCAGGTCCCGGGGTGGCGGGCTGAGACGTCGGGAGCCGACTAAGGCTTTCCTCGCCCCACTTACCTTAAAAATCGGTTTGTTCGTCCTAGGGGGTGGAGGAGAAAATCCTTCCCCGAGGTGTGGCGTGCGAAACAGCCCGCGTCCCCGGCTCCGGCCGCGGGGATGCTGAGCACCGTATCCAGGAACCGCGGGACCGCAGCGCAGGGCGGAGGCGGATAAAGGAGAGAGACGCAGTCGGCCCAAGCTTCCCAACTTGTCGGGTTGCAAACTTCAAAGGCGGGCGCGGGCCGGGCGGCGAAGTTGCAGCGCAGAGGAGCGGGGAGCGGCGGTCCCGGCGGAGCAGGAGCAGGCGCTCGGGTCCCCTTGCCGGAGGGCGCCGGAGGGCTGCGGGCGGGGATGCTGCTGCGCGGGCTTCACCCGGGCTGGGGCGCGGCTAGCTGCGCTCCGCGGTGTCGCGGCTCCGGCGCGGAGTGTGCGCTCCGAGTGTCACCGCCTGAGCCCAGTTTTCCCCGCCCGCCCGCCGCTGCCCGCCGCCCCTCCCTCCGCTGCCCGCTGCCCCCCTCTGTCCCCTTCCCTCCTCCCGCTGCGCGCCAGCGTGCGCACACACACACACACACACACACACGCACACGCACACGCCGGCGCTTTCCCTCTCCCCCTCTGCTCACACACACAGCGCCCTTCAAACAAGACCCTCGCGGGCGGCCTTGCGGGGACACGTCGCTGTCCTTCCGTCCTCACCACCCGGGAAGCACGGGGAGGCCCTCGGCGACCCTGGCAAAGCTGTAAGGCAGGGAGAGACGCGCACGCGGGGCCTTCCCCCCGCCCCCCCCCCGCCCCGGGTCAGGGACTGGGGCGCACAATAGCTGGGACGCTGGGGTGCGCCGGGGGCAGGGCAGGCAGACGTGCGAAACCCAGAGGGCGGAGAGTGCGGGCGGAAAGCGGATTGCAAACGGTGCTTCGTGTCCCTCTTTCCTCCCGAACGCCCGTCTCCCACAGCCCTCGCCCAGCGACGCGTCCACTGCGGCGCAGCCCCGGCCTCCTCGGGAAACTCCAGCAGCTGTTTTAACAATTGCAAAGCTGCCCTACAGGACCAGCGCGCCAGTGTGTGAAGCCATTAGGGCTGACTAGGTAATTATGATAAGGAGTTACCTAATTAGCAACCTGGCCTGAGCCGAGGAGAGCGAGGAACAGGCAGAAAGTATCTAGTGATCTACTGATCTCATTTTCGCACTTGAGAACTTAGTTTCCATCAAACATGGGTTTTTAGACTCTAGCTGTTTTTTTTTTAAAATAATATTAAGTTCTAAAAATTATTAAGGTAAACTGTCAATACTGCAAGGATGAAAAGCAGTTGCCCTCTTGTCATGTTGTTTGTGACATGCATATCGATAAGATGGAAATCAACTTTACTGAGATCATATTAAAAACTGATCTTTTGGTGACCTCCTTACAGACAGCATTCCGACGCAGCTGCTAAAGTTTTGTGGCCACCGGATGAGAGGTGGCCAGAGGTGGCTTCAGGAAACTGCTTACATGCCACAGAGCAGCTTTGCAAAAGCCAGCCTAGAAAGGGACATTTGAGATCTCTGTGCAAGGTAGTTTTGTTTTCAGATAAGAGGATGAGGTGGGGAAAAGGCAGCCCTGATTACAGCTCAGATCTGGAGAAGTGACTCTTGTGACAATGGGCTATGGCCCAGAGTAGGGCACTCCTACATCCCTCAACAAACACAAACACAAACACGTAGTGAATTCCTGCCACATACCAAGTATGTCTTCCGAGCTTCGATTCCGGGTAAGACATGGTGCTCACCTTTAAGAGACTCACAGCAAGGCAGAGAGATAGGCTTGAGTGAAAATGTGGAAAGCACTGTAATGGACCTTTGTGTCCAGTTCTGACTGAGTCTGGAAAAGGAAGCAGCCTGCTGCCCTTAAGGAGGCGCTGGAGGTGGAGATTTCAGTGTAAGCCCTGAAGGACAAGGAAGAGAATGGCAGGCAAATAGGGGTAGGGGAGGGTGGGCATTCCCCACAGAAGTAAGTGAAAAGGTTAGGTAAGTGTCAAAGTACTCCGTATGTCCTGGGAACTGGGAGAAGTTAGGTGTGGCCTGATGTGGGAGAAGTAAGCAAGGCCAGTCCACCCCAAGCTCTGGGGCTCAGACAGCCAGGTCTTTCCTGAAGGGGATGGATGTTTGGGACACTACTAGAGGTCTGAAGCAAAGAAAAGTGTTAAGGTTTTTAAGCACTATCAGATTTGGTGTTTTAGAAAGCTTCCTCTGATACCACTATGCAAGACAGACAGGAGAGAGAGAACACGGGGGTTTATTTCCAGAGGAAAAAATGAGGCCTGAGGGAAAGCAGCAGAGGAGGCTGGGGCAGTTCCTGAGATATTTAGGGAAATTAGCTAGACTGGTGCATAGAGTAAGGAGAGGAGGAGGGGTCAGAGAGGCAGCAAGAGAGGCAGGTTGAAGAGGAGCATAGTGGGTCCTGTGTCACATTTGTTGGGTTGGGGGTGCTTAAGCGATACCCAAATGCAGGGCTACATAGGCAGCCAGAGGGGATCCTGGGGGAGAGGTCCACGCTGGAAGGACACAGCAGGATTCCAGGGTTTGGCAGGGCCAGAAGAGGAGAAAGGCAGACAGGAAGAGCAGACTAGGGATGAAATGTGGGGGAACACTGATGTAGACACGGAGAGAAGAGGAGTCTGCAGAAAAAGATGAAGACAAGAGAGGAAGGAGGAAAGCAAAGACTGAGCAGAGTTGATGAAGCAGGAGAACAGGGCTAGTGGCCAGGGTAGATTGTGGCAGATCGATCAAAGTGACCAGATTGAAAGGTGACTGCTGCTGCTTAGGGAATGTCTGGGTGATCCTGACCTAAGTGACGGCAGTCATGTTGTAGGTATATGAAGGAACCAGACAATAGCAGAGAGAAAGCGGGGTTTGGGGAGCAGAGAACATGAGCTCATTCACCTCCCAGTTAGGCCTTGAGAGCAGACAGAAGAAGGTATGAGGAAAGCATTTTTGTAGTAGTTGTAGATTTGTTTGTTTTTCCTATGTGAGTCACCTGGTCTGGATTGCGTGGTGAGGAGGAAAAGCAGGTGGAGAGGGAATACCTGCAGGCCAAAGTGGGTGGTCAGCGGTATCCACCCCATAAATTTCATGGCTATAGGGGATAGTTCAAATAAACCTGCAGTTGGTGTATTGTTTAAAATTGCCATTAGAAAGAAAACATTCTAAGGGCATTAAGGTGATTTGTCCTTAATCCAGTCCCTTCCCCAGAGACTTGTGTCTGTGCAAGAAGTTCCAGAGGAATTCTGTGGAACATATTTTTAATGAAATTTCCTAAAAATGTTTTAAATATCAGGATTTGCATATATATCAGTACATTCTGACTTCTCAAAAAATATGCCACTGGTGAAGCCAGTGCATATTTATGTTTTCAGTATGTTCTGAGAGGCTTGACCAATATGCTGTAATAGACAAAATCATGCATTATCTAGCCAAACTTATACTTAATTCTAGATCTGATAATTATTTGTTTTAAGACAAAACTTCTCTGAGGATCAGTGTTTAAAAGTGGAACAAATTATAGCTGACTTACAGATGTTTTATGAGGTTTGGGTAGTATAATATTCAAGTGTTTGGCAGATATTTGCTTACTTATGTCCAAACTTACTTTTAAACAGAATATTCATAAATATTTAGTAAATTGGAAAAACCCTAAATAATTGCAAAATTAAAACTATAATTTAAGTGTATTTAGGAAAACTCCAGTTCCAACCTCAAGCTCACAGTTCTGAAAGTGTATGTGATCTCTAAGTCCCTGAGGGCCCCTCACGTAGAGGAAGTCTCCAGGCCAAAGCTGTTTTCATATTAATTCTAAAACATTAATTTGCTTTTCTCCCTGTTTGGCATTTTCACTAATGATACAAAAGTAATGGTGGGAGACATGGCTTGTACCTTAGCACGATCAAGCACAGAACTAAACCATCCACATAGTTTTTTTTTTTCCCTCTGCCACTAATGTCAGTTCCATTTAAGGATGTCTTTGATGAGACAATAAAAATTATTCATTTAATTAAATTTCAACCCTTGATGGTGTCTTCTTAATATTCTTTTTTTTTTTCTTCTTAATATTCTCTGTGGCAAAATGGGAAATACACAAAGCTCTTCTGTTGTACACCCGGGTATGTACAGTGTTTATCCTGAACAAAAACACTTGGATAATTGAGTTGTGAACTAAACCATCTGCTTTTTTCATGGAATATATTTTTACTTGAAAGAACAACTGACAAACTATGGTTATTCAGACTTGATTGAATCTTGGTAGACAGTTTTTTTTTAAATGAGTGAAATGAGCCTCTTACTTCAAGGTAAACAACCAACATTTATTTGCAATGAAAAAATTTGAACAGAATTTAGAGTTCATGTATCTGCCACCATAAGCTTTACAGTTTCCCGGTACTTACAGTCTTTTCTAATAAGATTGTAGTCATTTTAGTGAATGCGGTTTAGAATTATACAATGAAATGTATCCACATTTGGAAGATTTGCATAATACAGTGAACAACACTTTCCAAATGTTAATAATGTGTGAGGTTATAACATATGTGAGTGAAAAATTCATTCATAGGAAAAAGTAGACCAATAGATTTTACTGTAGCCCAGTGTGAAACATTAACTGATGTGGTTTTGTATTCCACATTGAAATTATAAGCTTTAAGAGACTTACCACTTGTTGAATTTCAGTGGAACACTGAGGAAGAAGAATATCCAGAATTTGAAAAAGTTATTAAAATAATTCATTTTTCAACTGTATGTGTATAAAACTGGAATTTCCTCATTCACTTCAAACAAAACAACAAATTGAAACAGATTGAATGCAGAAGTGATATGGGAAGCCAGCTGTCTTCTATTAAGTGAGACATTAAAGAGATCTACAAAAATGTAAAACAATGCCACTTTTCTCACTAAATTATTTTCTCTGGAAAGGAAAGTATAATTGTTAACATGTTGTAGGTTTACAGTAGTTATTTTGAGATAATAAATATTTTAAAGCTATCTGTTATAATTTATAATATATTTAAGATTGGTAGAAATAACACATAAAATTATGGAACTCTTTGGAGTCCTTAGTCATTTTTAGGACTATAAATTGCTTCTGACAACCTCTGTCAGATGGAATCAGCTTAATCATGAAAATAAATTAAAAGATCACCACTAACTTATCACAATATTCTGTCTACAGACTGGCTATCATTAGTTGAATTGTCCTTGCATGATATGTTTCTCATTTTACCCAAATGTAAATGTAATCCTATAGAATGTTATAGCCACCATCTGCCCTCTGAGGACTGGGAAAAAAGAGAGATGGAAACAATCCTATAAATCTAAAAGCTTGGATAAAACAGTGTCATATACATGCCATGTGAGCACCTTTTGTCTGTCAGTTGCTTCAATCCCTGACCTAACCCACTCTCTCCATGGCAAGAGTTGTCAAATAGTTCATGAAATAC